CCACCGGGGGGGCAGGAGGGCCGGGGACCCCCCGGCCATGCCCCCACTTGGCTCCTTGTATTGTCTCTTCCCAGAACAAAGCTCCCTCTCCCGGGATCCCGGCCTGCTGCCGGGGGGGGCCACATGTGCGGGAGCGGGACATGGCTGGGGGTACCGCATGGCCACGGGCCCCCCCAGAGCGGCTCCCGCCCGACCCCCTCCAACGCAACCCCCAGGGCCGAGCCCAACAGCCAGCATTAATATTTGAAGAGGCCAATTACGACGCACGCGTGAGGAATGCTAATTGGGACGGGGGGAGCTGCCTCTTCTCCTCAGCTCTCAAACGCTCCCCGAAATGCTCCCCAAAATGCCCCACGAGCCCCCGCCAGAGCCATTTGTGAGGCTCTGAGAGAGGGTTAATTAGCAAGAAGCTGCTCGTCAATTAGAGGTGGGTGCCTTGATAAGGAGAAAGTGAAGAGATAGAGGTGACACGAGGAAGAACCCCAGACCAAGCCCTGGCTGGGGCCGGTGGGCACCCCAGGGTGGGCACCCCCTCTGATGGGTGTGCGGACCCGTACCATCGGGGTGGGGGGCCTGGGGGCTGTCCCTGCCCGACCCACACGAGCAGGACCCACCGCCTGCATACAAATTCCTGCTCTGGAAGATGAAGAGGCAACTGGCTCTGACACATCCCATTTATTACCGGGTCGCGGCTGCCGGTTATTGAGCAAACCCAATTGCTCTCCGAACGGTGAGGAGGGGTTTGTCACCAAGCTGCCGGGGACGGCCGGGGCGTGGGAGGACTCGGGCAGGGGAAGGAGGCTGTGGCAGCCCAGCCAGGACAGCCCCGTCCCCAGCGTGGGGGCAGACGAGCCCCCCCTGTGCCCATGCTGCAGAATGTGTCACCTCTAACAGCAAAACAAGGGGGGGGTTCAGGCTCAAAGGTGGGATCGGAGGCCCACAGCGGGGTCAAGAGACACCCAGGGCCAGAGAAGTGGTGCTGGTGGTTCTTCCCGTGGCAAAAGAGGGGTGCTGAGCTCCTGCCCCCCCTTCTCCCCGCAGGGACGCAGGGAAGGAAGGCCCTGAGGTCCCTTTATTGCCGCGGGATGGTCAGTGAGCCACGTACCCAAGCCCAGACACGACCAGCGTGGGGGCGAGGGCAGTGGGCACCACCAGAATGGAGAAACAACACAGTCCCGGCCAGCCCCGGTGCTTCCGAACACATTGCAGATGCAGGGCTGGGAGATGTGGTGCTCTGGGGCTGGCTGGGAGTGGGGTTTGGGCACAGCCAGCCCGGGACAGCGTCGGGGCTTTCCGCCGGCTGCAATGCAGCAGCGATGCCCTCCTCTGAGGAAGCCGTCTTCTCAACCAGCTCATCCGGGTTGGGTCTGCTGGTGGTGTTAGCCAGGGAGGGACGGACACACACCCCGGGCCAGGCAGGTGAAGACGCTGGGACTCCAGATGGCCTGGAAACCCCGCTGGGCCCGAGGGCTGTGACGCCAGCTCTGCACTGGGGCTCTGGAGAGCAGCTGCTGTCGGCTGGGAGGGGGAGCAGCCCGCCATCCCTGCTCTGGGCTGGCTCGGTCGCTCATCAGTCACTCGCGCTGTCCTCGCTGTCCGAATACGCCCCCAACAAGCCGAGAGAGGACGTGGTGCCCGTTGCTGTGGGTAACGAGCCTGGAAGCCGAGCAAGAGAGCAGACACCATCAGGTAAGGCCCTGCCCGTTGCCGGCAAACCCTGCCGGCTCGGTGCAACCAGCCGCGCAGAAACACGAGCCTGCCTCGCCGCTCTGGCGGCTTGCAGCTGGAGATAAGGCAGCCGGAGCCTGAGCAGTGCCTCGTCCCCCAGCCTGAATCTCGATGAGGACAGCAAGGTTAAATCGGGTGGACAAGGAGACCCCGCACCCCCTCGGCTGGAGCCTCCTGCTTCCGCCTTGCGGCAACGGGAAGAAGCAGCAAGGTTGGCCCAAGGTCTGCAAAACCCCTTTCTCCCTCCGCAATCCCCCGGGAGATTTCAGCCACTGGAAAGGAAGAGAGGAGCCAGCTCTCGGCTTTGACCACGCAAGCTGCCAGCGCGAGGCAGCGTCACAGGCAGTGAGCCCCGAGTCCTTGGAAGACGGGCAGCTCTTCAGAGTAATTTGGCTGAACAGACCCTGCCAGCAGCCAGGAGCAGGTGGCTGGGGAAAGCGTATCAAAAACGGGGCAACTGCAAGAGCTGCCCTTCCCTGGGGATCCCCTGAGGGCAGCGGGACTTACTAAGCCAAAGGCTTAGGACCAATCAGCCCAGAATCAATCAATTCATCAGCTCCTTCTCCAAATCCTCTGGCTTCCTGGGGCAGTGAGCTACGAGGTGCTGGGAAGCCTTTCTGCTTGTTTTCACCACTTCTTTAAAGCTTCCAAATTCCAACAGTTTGGCAGGTTTTAGAACCAGGCCAAAACCAAAGCAATTTTCTTGCTTTTCCATTCATATCTCACTGTTGTGACGGTTCCCAGCATCGTATCTGCTTGCCAAGATGCTGTTTTGAAGCTTCTGGCCCTGACAGTCTGTCTCCAAGGCCTTGGCTCACCGCCAAGGGCCAGGAAGGAACCTCTTCTCCATCAGGACATCTCCTGGAAACAGGGACAACCCTCCTGTTCTTACACCATCACAGCCCCATCTGTCCCACAACAAGGACTTGACCTGAAGAGCATTCAGGCTCTGAAGACGGAGCTAAACACCACTTGGGTGCTGCCAGACCCCAGCTCAGGCCACCCCAGCCCCACGTGAGCAGTTACCGGTGTTGGCCGTGCTGCCTTGGTTCTCTGTCCCGTTACCCAGGGCAGGACCCGGCTTCTGCTTCCTCACTGTCACCAGCCCGGCCAGCTGGGGCTTGGTGTTCAATTTGCCCACGCTCCGCTCCCAGCTCTCAGTTTTCAGCTTCTTACTCTGGGGCTGAGGGTCCTGCAGAGTAGAGCAGGGGCGTTAGGATGCTCCGGCCTTGGAGGGGAGGCAGAGGGATGGGGGAGAAGGAGGAGTGGTAAAAACAGCAGCACAAAGCACAAGAGACATGAGGATACTGTTCGGCACAGCCAAGGCGGGTATTCTCCCCCCGCAGCGACTGGCACAAGCTAGACAAACAACAGGGGTATGGATCTAAATGGCTGCAGAACAGCCCTTGGAGACAAATGTCCCACTGCCTGTGACAGTTGAATCCAGCCTCGTGCAGCCACGCGCTGGCCCTGGGATGATGAGGAGCCAGATGCGTGCCGCAGGGCTGCACAACCTCTGCCAGCCAGGACCGCGTGCCTGCCGGTGGTCCAGCCACTGAATCAAACTCCCCCGGGCACGAGGATTAGTGCCGGGCCAGGGAACATCGCTCAGATTAACCCCAGCCTGGCTTAGAGACATGGCAGCTTTGATTCATCCAACCGGACAGAGGTCCCCGGAGACACGGATCGACATTGGAGAGCAGCAGTGCAGGGGCCTGTCTGTGGGGATAATCCCTCCCTTGCAAGTCGGGCACTGAAAGCTCTTTTGTTCTGCGAGTCTCCAACACGGACAAAACAGAACCAAGGGAGAGGCTGTTCCAGGCAGTGCTTTCATTGCTGTAATTTTCAGAGTGCTGAAATCGTGCCTGAAGCACGACCAAGGCATAGGCAAGCCCGTCCTTTTTGAGCTGAAAGGGAAGCCATGTCCTGAGCGAGGACGGGGGCAGCTCCCTCCCGGCCTTTGTCAGCAAACGTGGTCTAAAATCACCAACTGATCCCTGTCTCCTTTCAGCTCAGTGCACAGGGACACAGGCTTTCTAAGCTGCTCATATGTGACAGGCATTAGGGCTCCAGCATCATAGGGACCGAAGAGAAAACACGCGGCCCAGGACAGCGGATTTGGTCTGGGGGAAGAGGTGCGGTGGGTGGAAGAGCCTCTGTCCCCGCTCACCTCCTGCAAGATGTCTGTAGGTTTAATTTTCGCTGCAGGCTTTGTCCGCGATTTCGCAGGCTCTTCGTCAGAGTCAGAGTCTACCAGCAGCCGCCGGTTCTGGGCCTGCTCCAGCATAGCTCTGCAAGGAGAGAGGCCGCGCGCGAAGGGTTAGAGCCAGCTCCGTTCCACCACCGTGCCGAGCGGCGCTGGCCGTGCACCGTGCCTGCACCGTTTGCTGGAAGGGGAGCTGGAATTCAGCAGCAGTGCAATGGGATCCATCGTCTCAGGTGCTTTTTAAGAAGTCCTGTTCAAGCAGTGCCCGAAGGTTGATAGCACGGAGATCTGCAGCCCCAGCCAAGTGCAGAAACGCTCTCTCCACACGAGGACACTTCTCAGGGGGAGTCAGGCCCCTGCAGCAGCCCGGATCTCCCCACCAGATGGGCCAGTGATACCAAAACCCCTCCACCTCCCTAAGCACTTTGCCACGACAAACTGTCACCCAACCTCCTCACAGCCTGCTCAGGACTACATCCCACCCACACAGCTCCTGCCAACTCAGGCCCCTCAGGCAGGGCCCTCTCTTAAACGCTCTCGGGGTGCTGAGGAATGAACAAGACACAGCCCTGCCTGGCCAGGGCCAGCGTGGCTGATTTCACACACCCGTGAATGCTTCCAGCCCACTCACTTCATCTCTTGCTCATCCTCCTCTTGCTCCTTGCGCTTCTGTTCCTCCTCGTACTCCTTGTACTGCTTCAGCATGGCCTCGAAGTCCACGTTTGCCTGGCGCTGGTTGAGTTCCTTCAGCTCCTGCAGGTTCTCCAGAACCTCCATCTCCAGCTTGGAGTCCTTGGTTCGGTTCTCCAGGACCTGGGTAACCAGAGGGAAGCCGGGCTTATGTGAGGTAACAGAGCCTGCCAGCAATCTTGACCACAGCTTCCCCACCCAGTACAGGGCAGGAAGCAATAAGAGGATCATCATCATCCTCATTTTTGGGTCTTAACAGGTGATGAAAAACTGGGGCAAGATGCAGCCTGTCACAAGTTCCAGCCCAGGAGGAAACCTCCTGAGGGCAGAGAGTTGGCTCCTGCCTGCCCAGAGCACAGCAATACCTCGGGAGCCTGAAGAACTAAACCAACGGTAACAAAGTCACCTGCTTCGCTGGGGAAAGCCAGCCAAGGCAGGAGAGAGGTTTGCCTCCTGCAGAGGAGGGCACATTCTCGTACCTTCATGGGATTGTTGAGCTCTTCCTCTTCCCTCTCCTTCTGCATTCTTTTCTCCT